TATACTAGCTCTAGGTTTAAGTTCCCCTTAGTAGACTAGAGCTTTACTAGAATAGTAAAGATTTGTAACTAAGTTGGAGTTTTATCAAAGTGTAAGATATACTTACTTTACTAGTCCTAATCCTTAGGAATAGTAACAGAATAGAGTATAGAGAGTAAGACTTGTAGACTTGTATAGTGAGAGGGTAGAGGAGTCCTACTTTAGTCAAGCTGTAAGTATAGCCTAGTAGGTTGGTAGTAGAGTACTTCCAAGTACTAAGTAACTTAAGTTGATAAAACTATCTTTTAAGGACTAAACTAGCCTCCTTATATACCTTTTACTAGAGTAATGTTACTCTAGTGACTTTAGTAACTCTCTTCACTGTTGTTCCTATAAAGTAGAGCTAGCTAATTCTTTAGACTGTATACTACACTAGTTTGTGTCTTTTATTAATCTGCTGACACTAGTTTGTGTTTTCTTGTATTCTAGATTAATCTTCTAATAACTCCTTTACTGTATTATTATGTCTTCTATACTTTCTCTCATACTTCTAATGACTCCTTATGAGTCCTCCTAACTAGTTATACTGTGTAAACTATGTAATACTTTTCCTATGAAGTAGAGCTCTCTATTGTTCTTATAACTCTGTCTGACTCAACCTATACTTTCTGTACACTAGTTTATAATACACTTTTCTCATAAGGTAGAGTATTATGACTTTTAATGACTCCTTATAACTTTTATAATATAAAAGGCTGTACTTCTGTACTACCCCTAGAACTTACAACCAAAGTTCTAGACTGTCTTGTGTACACTCTAGAACTAACAACTAATGTTCTAAATCTTTCCCTAAGTCTTCTTTAATAGACTTAGTTTAGGAGACAATTATCCTTATTAACTTCTAGCCTTATCTTTATACTTCTGTATTCAATCATAGAACTTACAACTAAAGTTCTAGATTGTCTCATGTATTCCTTATGTTGTCCTTATATAGTTCTCATGTTTATGACTTTGTTACTTTCCCATCTATATGAGTAAAGTGTATAAAGGAGACTACTTTCCTATAGTCTCTCTTTAGAGCTCTCAGTTCCCTTTCCTTCACTAGTACTAGTCCTTCTCAAGTATAGAGCTTTAGAGTATTAGCTCTAGCTCTTTCCTAGCTTTAATAGTCCTTTGTCTTTGTACAAAGTGTTCCTAGCTAACTATATAGTAAGTAAGTATAATATTTTCCTTTTATCTCTTCAGGTTTTCTCCTAGTCTTTTCCTTTATACTTCTTACTCTAGACACTATACTCTTTCTAGATTCCCTCTTTATACAAGTATTCTAAATGACTTGTCTTTAGTTAAGGTTATTAAGTAATACTGTGCTAGAGTATGTGTTTAACCTTAGAGAGATAAAGACCTTGTCCTCAGGTTTTGTTACCTTTTCCTAACTAACTTAGTACCTACTCCTTCCTGTCCCCTCTCTCTACTAATGGATTAATCACCCATTAGTAATGATTAGAGGTTAATAATGCTGAGCTGGAGTTCTTACTAAGTAGGACAATAAAGGTAGTCTAGTTGATCTGGCTAATCTCTAGACTTGTGACTAATAGGGTTTTGTATATAAACTACTCAGTCCCAAGTCTTGAGTTAAGCTTTTCCAAACTTAGTTACTGTATTTTACAATTCCTAACAGGTCACTTTTTGATAACTAACATACATTAATTTGACACTTACCAATATTTGCAATTGTTCCTACTAGTCCAACACAGTGCATCTAAAACTTGATCAGATATGCCTCAGAGTTAACCAAAATATAATCTTGCACTAAGAAGTAAACAATGTTAGGTGCATTCCGGGGGTAATGCTACATTGTATTGTTCAGCATTAGGTCAGTGCTCTCATGAAACCCTATACCCAGAAGAATTTTGCCTGTAAATCCTATTGCTTAGTACCTACAAAGTGCAATATTTCCATATTTTCATACCTCGCGTTCAGCCATGATGACTTTACATATGGTCATTGTTTACCCTTTGCAAAGAGTGTCGAGTTGCTCACAAAAATCATAGAGGAGGACAACAAAAAGTGCTACAGCGAAATAGCGTTCGGTGATAATTGCAGAGACAGCCTGTGACATAGAGTCAGAGATGCAACTATTAGACGGTGTGGTAGAGCAAGGATGAGATAGAATTGTCAGATTACGCCCAGGATCCAGAAAAGGTGACACTGTTGGTATCCCTTCGATGTTACGTTCATGGACTTCATTGCCTCCTTATATGCTGAACCGCTTTCACTGGGCCCATAGAGAAGCTGTGTTTGATGAAAGTTTTCTGCATGATTGTTTCATGCCGAGCCGACCAGAAGAATAAAGAGAACCGAAAAGAACTGCTCCCAGAACGACAGCGTCAAGTGGTTTTGGTAGCTGTGTACGGTAGCCTTAGTTACAATATGCTTTACAAGGTATAGTACACCTTCATAACTGCTGAAAGTAGATCCTGGGGACCGAAAAGCACATGGGTGAAGATTTTAATGCAAGACGCCTATCATGACTGGACAGACGCTGAGATAACACCATTGTTGAAGAGCGAGACGAATAGGCAGAAAGGCCCTCCAGGCAGATCAATAAGCTTTCTCACGCCTATTAGATGTCGGATGGCATATGTTTGGTACATACATAGTCTATCGAACCGACATGTAAATGCTAACCAGGCTCTCTCCCATGAGTGGGCCTTGCCATCTATGTACACCTTTGTATTCTATGCAAAGATCTGGAATAGATATATTTTGCAATTCCATTCCCGGTTGGCTAGACCAAGTAGTGTAGTCTATGCAAACTGCATATTACTGATCGTCCTCAACCTATCAGTAACTCCTCCGTTTGAGCCCTTCTCAGCTGCTTCTCTGAGATTAATCAAAAGCCTGGTTCCAAGTATGCACAGGATGGTGGGACTCCCAGCTGCATTCAGAATATTCGCAGCGAATTTATCTGTGACGAAGAGATATCCTAGCCTTACAGCGCAGAACACGATAACACTGTTCTCGGTTGGTTAGCAGCCATGCCTAGAAAGATGTTATAATCTTCTTACAGGACATAATATAGAGCTTGATCCTTAATACAGACTTGTACAAGGTGAAAGCCTTTAAGACCAGCCAATTCTTTCAAGTACTCGTATGCCTTATAGAGTGCAAGGGTAAGTAAGACCATTTCTTGGACCATAGGTATTATTCTATCAAGAATCAAAAATCAGAGTAAGCGGGAGTTTGAGAGGAATCAACATACAATACGGCCATCATTTGATGGGTGGTATTTCTTCCATATACACAAGTAGTTATTCCATTCGGGAGTCTGGCAACCTTGGCTGTAACAAAGTTAGCGCTGGATACAGAAGACATAAATTCCGTCCGCACCACCGGCAGAAGAAGTACAATATATCAGAAGGCTGAGGCCAGCTATTGTGGTGAAAGCAAAAAGACTTTTGAGAAATATTCCCAGTCTTATATCTGTGCGGATTAATAGTAATTAGATTTGATCAAAGAGCGTCATACTGTTGTGATAGAGAGCCAGGACTCTAATAATTAGGATGTCTATGATAGCCCCTCTTAGTTGCTTTGGCAAGACCCTCTGTATCAGGAATGACTTACATTCAACAGATTTAATGGTGAGGCTATCTAGCTTCTGAATGAGTAGATAAGTTTAATCATATTTAAGATTGCCCACTGCAAAGCGACAAAGCCCAGAGCGAGAATCGGCCTTATTTAGTGTCAGTAAATCAAACGCAATATAACGAGATTCCGATATACATCTAAGAAGAATGACATGTAGGTAAGTGATCGTTTGATGCTCGATGAACATTGATATTACTTACGTTATGAGAGTCGCACCAAAACCCGTGCCTTCCTCGGTGGCATTTAGATTATTCTGTGCGAGTTGAACGGACATAAATTTTGACACGTACCAATATTCGCAATTGTTCCTACCAGTCCGACACAGCGAATCTAGAACGTCATCAGTTATAACTTAGAATTAACCGAAATATAACTTCCCACCAAAAAGTAAATTAAGCCAGGGACCTTCCGAGGATAACACTACATTGTACGGATCAGTATTGAGAAAGTGTTCGCACATAATCCTGTACCCAAAAGAATTTTGCCTGTATTTATTACTAGGTTAGTCTTTACAAAGTAGTATATTCGCGTGTCTCCGTACCTCGCGTTCAATGATTATGACTTCACATATCATCAGTGTTTACTCGTTGCAAGGAGTGTCGAGTCACTCACAAAAGTCATAAAGGAGGACAGCAGAAAGTGCGACAGCAAAATACCGTTCAGTGATAACTGCTGAGATAGCCTGTAATAAAGAGAGCGGGACGTGACTGTTAGACTGCGCAGCAGAACGAACGTGTAATGGATGTGTTGAATTATAACCGAGGTGCAAAGAAGGTGTCATGTTTACAGTATTTTTGACGATGAACTCATTAAGAGCTTCGTATCTCCTTTTATGCTACCTCCTGCTTTCACTGGGCCTGTTGAGAAGCTGTGATTACTGGAAGTTTTCTGCCTGACTGTTTCATGCCTAACCAACTTAAATCAAAATGCTTGAGCCGAAATGAACTAATATCCGAACAGAACCATCAAAGTGGCTTTAGTACCTAGCCAGCCCTAGTAACAAACTGCTGTGTAATTTGTAGTACATCTCATAGCGATCAAAGTTAGGCCCCAAGAACACCAGAAGCACAGGGGTAAAGGTGCTTGACGCGAAGTACTTATCATGGCTGGACAGGCGTTAAGATACGACCGTACGAGTCAACGGTTAGGACAGTGTACTGTGATGAGAAGTCGATATTAAGCATAACTTGCCATAAGAGGCCTGTCAGTACCATCAGTCATCAGATGCAAAGATGTGTTAAGTAAGCTTTCTCACGACTACTAGATGTCCGGCAGAAAAAAAGTTTGGCACGCACGAGCAGACACCCAAAGGTCAGCCGGGTCCTCTCCTTCCCTCCCTTCTGAGCTTTGCTTTCTTTTTGTATAATCTTAAAATGCTCGTGCTATACGAGACAGCCCTTGGATACTGCCTATTCAAGCTCACCGATTCCGCAAAACTCAAGAGCGCAGATTTATGGGAGGAGTTCGAGTCGCCTGAGAGGGCGATTGGACTGTATGTTCATGTCTGTTTGCTCTTACTCCAAGATTACAGCTTAATTGGAGTACCGTAACTTTTTGCTAGCCTGAAGCTTAAAGCAATTCACCGTTTTGAGTCTGCCGCATCTGCCGTCGATGAAATATCTTCAATCCAAGAGGGCAAGCTCGGGAAGGGTCTGAAGAAGTTTTTGTCTGAGGAAATCGTTGACAAGGGGAAGACCAAGGAAGAGCTCACCGTTATAGACTCAAAGCTCGGTATAGGCACTCCTATATGTGTGCTACGTTGGACGTAACAGTTGACAATTTCTTACAGGGTCGTCAATATCGAAGAAACTTGGAATTAAAGTCGTAGCAGACTCTTCTACCGTGGACTTATATCGTGGCATTCGAAGTCAACTGGCTGCACTTCTGGATGGTTTGGATCCACGGGACTTAGCACAAATGAGCTTAGGTCTAAGTCATTCCCTTTCCCGGTACGTCTCCCGCAATTCTCAAACGTCTCATTGTTGACTAAATTTCGCTTTCGTCAGATTCAAGCTCAAGTTCTCCCCTGACAAGGTGGATACAATGGTCATCCAATCGATTGCCCTGTTAGATGACCTCGATAAAGAGATAAACATCTATGCTATGCGGGTAAAGGTCAGGATTGGAAGTTAATTATGCCGTTAGATTATTGCTGATCGCCTCCGAAGGAATGGTATGGGTGGCATTTCCCAGAAATGGGTAAGATCCTGACCGACAGTGTCGCATATGCGAAGGTTGTACGTGCGATGGGTAGGTCTCTTTAATATTCTGAAGCGAAAAGCTAGTCCTCAAGACAATTCGGCCCCTAGGATTTCGGACAAACGCAGCCACGACTTCTCTTGCACACATCTTACCGGAGGAGCTTGAGCAAACGATCAAAGTCGCTGCAGAAATTTCTATGGGTACCGAAATCTCAGAGTCAGATCTAGCAAATATCAACGGCGCGTGCGACCAAGTGATTGCAATTTCGGCATATCGTGCACAGCTCGCAGAATATCTACGCAACCGTATGAATGCTATAGCACCGAACTTAACAGCGCTTGTTGGTGAACTGGTCGGTGCAAGGTTAATCAGCCACGCCGGGAGCTTGTTGAATCTCGCGAAACACCCAGCAAGCACAGTACAGATCCTCGGTGCAGAGAAAGCCCTATTCCGTGCACTCAAGACGAAACATGACACTCCGAAATACGGTCTCATTTATCACGCTTCACTCGTCGGCCAGGCACCTCCGAAGCTCAAGGGCAAAGTACGAAGCTTCGTTCTTCGTTTCAAATCTCACAGGCTGAATTTGATCTAGATGGCTCGTATGGTCGCAACTAAAGCTGCATTATCGATACGTGTCGATGCGCTTACTGATCCAGACGGTAAATCTGAACCTTTAGCGCCATCTATCGGTCTCGAGAACCGAACGAAGCTCGAATCACGACTACGCGCTCTTGAACACCAGAATGATCTAAATGGCGTGCGGGCTTTCAGCTCACCTGGAAAGAAGCAAGCCAAATACGAGCCGACAGGAGAGACACGACAATACAACTCAAGCGCGGATGCGGTGGGCTTGGTTTCGACGCAGCGTGAGCCAGTCGAGGCTGCAATGAAAGCAGTTGCGGATGTGAAGGCGGAAAAGAAGAAATCGAAGGAGGAACGTCGTGCGAAGAAGCGGGCGGAAAAGGAGAAGGCGGCCGGGGCTGCAGCGGTGAAGCCTGCAGACGAGGACGCTATGGACGTGGATGTTAAGGAGAATGGCCAAGAAGTCGAGGAAAAGAAACGAAAGGTACGGTTTGCTGTCTCGCATTCGAAACGACTTACCCCTAACACCCGTTCTTCTGAAGGCTGAGAAAAGTAAGTCCGAGGAGACCGAAGAGGAACGGAAAGCTCGTAAAAAAGCAAAGAAAGAGGCGAAGGCCAACGGTGAAATTTCAAAGAAAAAGAAGAGAAAATCGGAGGTGGATGAATAACATCGTTTCTTTCTTGCACCATACATGATATGCATTCGATTTTGTTTTTTTTACGCTCGGCTGCTTTGTTTTGTTTCTTAGCTCGTGGTTATGATGGTCCATCGTTTCTTTTGAGCACACCATATAATGACCGTACAAATACCTGGACACCGCGAAATCAGCTGTGGCTGGACAAGTTGTGAGGATGACGATCTCCAACGTTTACATCCAAATGCCCGTCGTATTGCACATTGCTCGGCAACTTATGGGATTTCGGGCACTGTAGCCTGCTAGGATGATGCAAGCTCTGACACGCCGCAACGAGGCTGGATGAGCTATTTCTTGGTAGTTACGTTGCATCCTCGTGATGATTGTTGACTCTTCGTCATTGTTGGCGCTGTTGGCTTAGTTGAATCTTAATTCATTCACTGCGGTGGATGGTTATATATGCAACTCGCTGCAGACTCCCATCTACTAACCCCTTAGGATCGGTGACACTTCTGGGGTTTCAGCCAAACCCACCAAGCACTCTTCAGCTTTGCCTTTGTACTCAACCTGCTGGTCAGAAGCCGACTATATTAATATTAATGTATGCAATTGTTGTCAAACAGTATATTATCCTGGCGACTTTCATCGCCTTGCTTTACGATTCTAGTACGTCAAGAATTTCCTCTTACAATAGCCGGGTCTTTGACAAGGTGCTTGACAGTCATCACTAAAAACAAAGAGGTAGGTCGCTGTTTGGATAAGATATAATACAGCTAGTGGGGAGTTTATGCCCACAGATTAGATTCTTCTGGGTACTAAGCTTTGTCTGAAAGTGTCATTTATCAATGCTCAACTAAGTCACACAATATAGTCCAATCCGTGGAACCTCAATAGTGTTGCCTTTTTTCTGGTATGGGTTTTATCGTAATCTTTGTATAAATACGCCTAAATGTATGATAGCTTCGCTATGTCGGGCTTCTGGGTTCCCTTGCTTTTGTCATCTGTAAGCACACTGAGCATGGTCCATGTATCTGTGAAGCAGTCTGAAACTACCGTTGGAACAGATAAAAAAATTGGAGAGTCCGTCAAGACGTAAGTAGCTATATTTCAAACGAAGGGCTGTAATGGATCTGAATGTTTCCTCTTCTTAGGTGTGAGTTCGTAGATAACTTGGCATCGTATTTCTTCACAGGTTTGAATCAAGATCAAATTACTTTTTGGGCATATACACTTAGCAGTAGGTAGCCAGACTTTCAGTTTCTATCTCTACTCACTTTAGAAGCTAGCCTGGCTTATTGCTGTGCTGATGGAGTGTATGTATTCTGTCTTCACTCAGTCCTCCCTTTCAAAAGATTATGAGAAAACTACAGATATTCTACTTATACAAGTATTGGCTCTCTGCCAAAGTGGTGGGTGTTTTCCTTTCGCGGTTAATTAAATGATTAATCAACCATGTTTAAATTTGGTAGATAAGTTGAATATTTGCCTAAAATTTGTATTTAGCATTGGAGCAGCCAGTGCCCTATGTGTTTTAATTTACTACAATTTGAAATCTAGTGGTAATTTGTCTAAAAACTCGGCTTTCTAACTGAATACTGACTTTGTTCCAGCTCAGATTGTACAACATGGCTTTATGGCTTGTGATTTTCGCAAAGCCTTTTCGCATGTAGCAGCAAATCTACAGTACATCGACAACTATCAATTAGTTTCTATTTCCTGACTTTTGACAGGGTTATACCACTGGTGCATGGTCTTATTTTACTCGCCCTTGCACTTGCAAAAGCACGCACGTACTTGAAGCTCGCTTCCGGGTTCAAAGGGTTTCGCCTTGTCAAAATTCTTGTCCAGGATTAAGCTAAATATTTTATCATGTAAGAGTTATATGCATTCTTCACGCACTTTTGCTAATTTAAAGTATAGTCTTATAGTGCGTTGTGTTATAACTCTGTCTTCTTCTTCTTAGGCTGCCGTTGGATCAGATGAAAGAGACATACTGTTTGCGATTGGAAGCCCAGTGATTGTAGGCATTACTGGATGCCAGATACTGATAAATCTAAAAGAAGAGGGGAAGAAGGATGCAAATGGCAGGACAGTGGGTAAGATTGAAACAATCGGTACTATACAGTTTGCACAGTATACAACCTCTTCTCTGTCACTAGATGCACAGGCTTAATACAAGCTTCTGTGTTATTCTGAGTGAAAGCATTTTATAAAGCAGTAATTTCTGCACTAGTGCTACATCATGATGATCATGTAGTACTACGCCTACTGTAATCACAAGACGGCACACACACTCTCTCTACTTGTAAATATCAATAGGCGGTGTTGGGTTTGTATTCTCTCTTTGCGAGAGTCATTGTTACTTTGAGAAATGTGTGGATCGAGATACCGAAACTGGATCACCCAAAAATTACCGCCAGGTTACATGAATTTATATATCCATCCACATGATTCGAGGCGTCATTTGTGGGAAAGCTGATGATCGACGGGCAAATTTATTCCGGTCTAATGGATGAATTCAATCCGAAGTCTCTAGCTTTCTTTACCTTCCCATGCCTCGAGAAAATAGGAAACGCGGCAAAAAGCATAAGAAAGAGGAAGCGGCAGAAACTACACCTTACCCCGAAGACGCCCAAAATCAGGAGGAGATAGCGCAACATGCTGGGCCGTCATGGATTGTTGATAGGAACACGGCGGGACACGAAAATAATGGGCAATCCCTTTCACCAGACGCGCCGTTTGGCTATGTAGATCCAGACGTGAAGGCATATTTCAAAACTGTTGATAATAGTCTGCGTGAATGGCAGGAAGTGGCTGACACAGGAGAGCTGGACGAAGGAGACGCTGATCCAAACGAGGGTACGTAGCTCCCGAATTCTTTTTTGATGATAGTTTCCTAATTTCGCGTTCAGAGCGAAGATTATTCCTAGTCGCCGCCCTCCAGGAGCTGTCTGGGAAGGAAAAACAACTAGCAACAGACCCAGAATGCTCAAATGTTCTGGAGCGAATGACGTATTCTATGGATGACTTCGTCAAGCGCGTGTTTGTTGATCGACTTGCTGGATCGTAAGTTTGTATATGCATTTCAGCAAGGAACTTGCATTTACCGTAGTGAAGACTTGAACAACTCTCAAGACATCGGTTTGCTTCGCACGTTGTGCAGACACTTTTGTCAGTAGCGAAAGGGACAATATACCGTGAGGTCTGTCAATATCCCTGGCATGTTTGCATTCCACTCACGGAATTTAATTGTAAGGCCAAGGGTATTCTACCTAAGCCTCCGGACGATAATGAAGAAAACATGCAAGGACATCTACCTCTACTGACTGAGATCATCGTCAATTTGAGTAATGAACTCCTTCCTTCTACAACAATCCTTATAATGGATCCGTTTGCGTCGCACGTCCTCCGCTCCCTATTCGTGCTACTCTGCCCTACGATTCCTTCTGCAACCGATGCTTCTTCTATCCTGCGCTCAAAGAAAAGTGCTAAGCACCGTGCAAAGCAGGGTCCCATGAAGTCTGTCTTCACAGACTCCTCGCGGGATGCTGATACATTCAATGGGAAGGGCAAGGGAAAAGCCGTCTTTGCTTACCCTCCAGAGTTTCAGGTGTTGGCACGTAGGTTTGTAAAGGAAATAAGAGAAAAGCTAAGTGAGAACGAGATACGGGCGCTCGCTGTAAATAAAAGCGCATGTCCAGTCCTAGTGGTAAGTCGAAGGGTTAATCGTTTGAGCATCAATAAGGAATAGAGTCTAACTTTGAAACTACTAGATTTTGCTTGAGATGGAGTCCGCTCATGGAACTTCAAACGAAGCTGGTTCGCTGATGGACACCATCTCTGCCAGTCTCATCTCTTCTACTCGTATGTGTCAGGTTATTTCGAGTACAGAGAACTTTTTATTTACGAAAGCTATTGCTGTAGTGCAAAAGCCCGAGCGTAAGCTTGAGCCATCTGACTTTGTCGCCACACTACTACGCGAGCCTACCTCCTCGCATCTACTGGAGAGGCTGATTAGCATGTCTCCGGGGGCAGCGTTTGACGCAATTTGGGATCTTTACTTTACTGGTAAGTCGGCTCGAGATATGGATCATTCAGGGTCATGGAAAGGCAGTTCAGGGAAGTTAGGGCGACTCTCGGTGCACCCCGTTGCTAATTTTGTGGTCGCTCGGGCCATCGCACGGCTCAATTCCGATCAACTTTCGTCCGTATTCGAAGAATTAAAGAGCTCGTGGTCGAAGATAATAAGTGGGTCTAGAAAATCGTTCCCTTTCGATTGTGCTCTAATTTCGTCGGATGCAGGGGGTGCGAAGACGGGTGTATTAAAAGCTTTGGTAGACAGAGCAGCATCGCTAAAGAGTCGCCAAGAGGAAGTGACCCAGGTAAGCAGTTCTCTCGCCCAGACATTTATGAAGCTGAACGTTTTGCAGGTGGTTCTTGATGCTTTTGACCTAGGTACCGAAGAAGAGCGACTCTACCTGGTTGAATGCGTGTTATATCTGGTGCCGTACGGAGAGCTGCAAGATGCTCGGAAACAAACTGGTAGCGGCCCGAATGCTGGAGACACCAAATCATTTGTCTTGGAGCCGACAATTCAAGGCTCGGTTCTTGTTCAATCCTTACTTCAACTCGACGCACCACACAACCAGCCGACGATTCAGAGTCTCACACGACTTCCAGCACCGCGTCTCCTCGCACTTGCACATCATGCAGTCAGTTCGCGAATCTTCGATGCATTTCTCACGACGCCAGGCATACCGTCAAGTGCTCGCCGTCAACTCATCCTAGCTTTTCAAGGGCCCTTCCCCGCTCTCGTCGACGACCGGGTAGGAAGCCGCGTCGGAGAGCGACTGTGGGCTGCGGCGGATCCGTATCTGAAAGAGAAGATTGCGAAGGGTTTGATCCCACATGAGACTGCTCTAGTTGGCTCGCATTACGGGAAATTCTTCATGCGCGGGCTAAACTTGTATCTGTTGAAGCGGAACCCAGAAGAGTGGAAGACGCAGCAAGCTCAGGTCAGCACGACTGCTGCGAAGAGGCATACCGAGGAGGTCAAGCACGAACAGCTGCTACCAGCCTCCAATATCGAGACCAGCGCAGCAGAGAAGCGACGAGAGAGGAAACGGAAACGGAAGACAGGACCCGGGCTCCAAGATGAAATTGACGAGCTGTTTACGTCTGCGTTCGGAAAGCGACAGAAGCAATGCAGTACGACCATTGCGGAGCAGGACCCGACAGAAACACAACAGATGGTAGCTACCCCGGCGACGAAAAACATATCGATCGATTCGGAGCTAAACAGTGTGCTTGGTGCTATACGCAATGCACCGACGGAGTTAAAGTCCGGCGGGAAGAAGAACAAGAAACAGTAAATTTACTGAGCTTACTTATGTTTTCATGTCTCTACCTTACCCTCCGTCGCAATAAGGATTATGGAGATTGTCTTGTACAAAGCTCGTGCTAACACTACAAATCATGTATGTAACGAAGAAGAGGTTGTGTGCTGAGTGAACTGCATATCACTAGTCGTCCCAATACTGTCCATTGTCGTCCTGCCGTCTGCAACTTCTTCCCCTGCTTCTTTAAAATTTATCAGGATTCGAGTTTCAATGATCCACAACATCATTGGATTTCGACTGCATTGAAGATACCTACTGTACCTGGCCTGAGAATAACCGGACAATTGATCAGCACTGTAGCACAGTATAATACAATACTATATGTGTAGTCAACAAGAGTATCCAGAAATGTAAGGAATGCTCTCACAAGATATAATATTTGGCCTGATCCTGGACAGGAATCCTGATGAGGTTAGACCCTTCAGACACAGATGACACTTTGAAACACTTGTAAATACAATTTCAATCACAAAGGGCATACTACAGAATTATTATGGGTTGGGTTGGTTGTGTGGAATTTCTTCATTCATCACAAAAACGTCCCAAAGGAAAACAAACCTCAACAACTACACTTGCCTTCTCAAAGTTTAAATATGGTAACAGGATTTGACAGTGAGCCTGGATTTGTCCAAATCAATGGTGGCCATTAAGAAAAGCAGGATAACAATTCTATTCTAAATATGTATACATTTTCTTGTAGTTACAAGAATTATGCATGACAAAGCAGAAAGTACTTGGTGGAGCATTACCCTAATCAAAACACAGAAGTTATGTCTACAAAAGAGATGATGCTGTGTCCTGTACAAATTGTATACTACTAATTGTTCCAACTATGTTTACTATCCCACCATTTGCATCCTTCTCCCCTTCTTCCTTCAGATTTATTAAGATTCGACACCCAGCAAAGGATATAATCATTTGGTCCCCAAGCGAATTCAAAATGGCTGCTTCACCTGGTTTAAGAGTGACCAAAATACTGACCAGTGTCAAAATACAATACACAACAACACTATATGTTTAATTAGTGAAAATTACGTGACAGTATAGAGACCATACTCACAAGACATAATATCTGGCCTGATCCCGGACAAGGATCTTAACAAGGTGAGACCCTCTGAATCCGACATTAAATTTCAAGTATTTGTGTGCCTTTCTCAATGCAAGGACAAGTAGAATAAGTCCATGCATTAGTGGCAGAACCCTGCCAAATGTCAGAAAGAGAAGTTATAATTCAGTAGTAACAATGTACCGTGATATAACTACTATTTGTAGAGGGACATCGCTTTGAACATTACACGCTGAAAAGCTATGTTTAACGGGCTGTACTAGAATAAAATCAGTATTCAGTTGAAAGTTAGTTTTGGGACAAATTACCACTAGATTTCAGATCTGCATAAACTACCATGGATAGTGCACCAACTGAAACAGTGGCAAATAGGATTTTAAGGCAAGCATTCAACACTCTGTCTGTCTAACTTAAGTATGAGTAGTTGACTTCAATAAGGAGAACACTTACTAGCTTGATAGAGAGCCAGGACTCGTATAAGTATAATATCTGTGTTTGTACTATTAATATTAAAGAAAGACTGAGTGAGAATTATTAATACATTCCATCAGCACAATAACAAGCCCGGCTATGTCTCAAATGAGTAGAGATAGACGGCTAAAAGTATAGCCACTTACTACTGAGTGTACGTATCCAATAGGTAATTTCACCTTAATTTGAATTGGTGAATAAACAGGTGCAAGATAATCCACAAACCCACATCTTAGAGGAGGGACGTTCAGATTAATTATTGCATATAGTTAAACAAATAAGTACTTACATCCTGACAGAACTTCCAAAATCAGTATCTGTTTAAACAATACCTTTAGTTGAGTAGATTGATTATTCTCAGTAGGCTTACAGATAACAAAAGCAAGACCACCTAGAAGTCCGACGTAACGAAGCTATCATTCACTTAGGTGTATTTGCACGATAAGAAGATGATAATAGCACGTACAACAAAGAATACCGCGCTGTTGACGTTCCATGGATTGGACTGTGTCGAATGTATAATATGAGCATCAAGAGACAACGCTCTTTTGAGATAGAGCCTACCCAAAAGAATATTATCTATGGATGTAAACATCTTAATAGCTGCATTTCATTGTATCTGAGCGACGACCCACCTCATTGTCTTTAGTAATGACTTCACACGTATTCGTTCAAGGTTGTTCAATGACCTGGATAATTGCAAAAGGAAAGATGTCTCGTACCAGAGTCATAAAGTAAAGCGGTGAAAGTCCCCAGAATAATGTACTGTTCGACGACAATTGCAGACATTATTACGACAACTGGGCTCTACCAACGGGTTGAGCGCAGAGTGAAACTGGAGAGTGCCTGATGGGCTTTGGCTGAAGTGCGGAAAATGCCACAGGGGACTAAGTAGATGATTGTCTGAGCCGAGTTATGTATACACACAACTGGCGACGCGAACAGAGCAATAAAAGTTATATCAGCGCTGACAGTGATGAGAAGTCAACAATCACCGTATGTAGAGCAACTGTCACAGGAGATGATTCTTCCTAGCTCCTGGATGAAATGGGCGCAGCTCATCATACAGTCTCATTTTCCCTTTTCAGAACGCGGATCTAACAGCAAGCCTGATGCACTCCAAAGCAGTGTCGGCTGTGAATAAGAATCTGATTACGACTCCAATTATAGTAACAATGATGATAAATGAGATGGGTTGGAAGAAGGCTGTGATCTCACCCTAGGGATGATAAGGAGAGGATAAATAGAAGAACATCTACTGTTTCTAAATTATAAATACATGATTCAAATTATAATTGAGTGCAAATAATTGATTGAAATCATTTTCTGTTATTTACTCAGCTTTGAACGTGACTATCGGACCATCTCCGATTTTATTTAGTGGATAGAAAATAGACATTGAGCAAATAATTTGGCTGTGCGAATCCTAATGCCTGATCCGCTTGTGAATCTACAGCTATAACCGGTCTTCAGCATTTAAATCAGACTGGAGTTCGTCGGGTCAGACGTACACTTCCTGTTCCAGTGCTCACCTTGTTACCATGACTAGTGCCCTTAGCATTAATGCGGTGCGGATCAACTCCGACCTTATGGAGTCTTGTCAGTGGGGATCGTGCGTTCTCCTATTAATATTAACATTCCTGCCTGATAATCAGGTCTGCTTATTCATGTTGAGATAACAGGACTCCCGATGGTGGAATGAGTGAGCTACGTCACCAAAGCCTATGGATTTTACTATTCAGGCATATTATTAGACCGACTGACTCTGAATGATGACGATAAGAAAGTTCGCGAATGGTTCATCGACCAAGTAAAGAAATACGGATGTTCAGTCAAAGCAAGCCATAACTCTTCTTTCCTTTACCTCAAGAAGTGTTGAAAGTCGGACAACAGGTCGACGCAGTGGGCAATATATTTGCAACTCGTCCAGGGAAGAACAACACCCTCCCACCTATTGGACTCGGCAGCCACCTCGACACGCAACCAGCAGGTGGGAAATACGATGGCATCGTTGGAGTTCATTGCGCTCTCGAGGTACTCAAGACGATTCATGAAAATAACATCGAAACGTATGCCCCTATCGCAGTGATTGACTGGACGAACGAAGAGGGTGCGCGGTTCTCCCCTGCAATGCTTGGATCTGGCGTGTGGGCTGGGAAATTCACACCGGAGTATGCGTGAGTGCATTGTCGTACTTCCTTCCATTCCAATGAATGTTTGCTTATTAAGGGTAGGATAGTTATGCGAGAACGGACTTGAATGGGAAGAAGCTTGGAGATGAACTTGAACGTATTGGATTCAAAGGCGATGTTCCCGCTTCATACAAAGCGAACAAACTCTCGGCACATTACGAAGTCCATATCGAGCAAGGTCCAATTCTAGAAGCAGAGAATAAACCCATCGGCGTCGTCACGGGTGTTCAAGGTCAGACCCCTTCGTTAACACCATGAAGCCAATTAATAGACGTCTTGCTTAGCAATGAGCTGGTTCAACATTGTTCTCCGAGGACGTGAACAACACTGTGGTACAACCCCAATGAACGCACGTGCGGATACGCTCCTCACCGCAGCGAAGATGATTGTCGGTATCAACACCATCGCAGTAAACACACCTGGAGCAGTTGGTTCCGTAGCAGTAATCAATTCCACACCTCAATCCATCAACACGCTCGCTTCAACGGTCCAATTCAACATTGACGTCCGAGCACAGAGCGATGTAATCCTCGAGGATATCGTAGTTAAGCTGGAAAAAGAATGCAAGGAGATTGCACAAGCTGCTGGTGTAGAGCTAAAAGTATGGGATCGGTTTTGGACAGCGCCGTTGACGAAATTTGATGATCGCATGGTTGAATTTGTAAGGAAGGCTGCAAAAGAGAGTGGGTATGCTTCCAGAGATATCCAAAGTGGCGCGGGACATGATTCGTGAGTCTGTCTTCGAAGCACTCCTTTGTACACTCCTGGTTGATTCTCGAGCGAAACAGCGTATATGCGGGGTCAAGAGTCCCAACAAGCATGATCTTTATCCGGTGCAAAGACGGAATCTCGCACAATCCAGCAGAATATTCTTCCCCCGAAGACATGTGCGTTTTCCGTTTTTCTTACGATGGGGTCGGCTTTTCGCTTAACTGAACATGGATTTGCAGTGCCGCCGGTGCGAACGTCTTGTTGGGCGCAGTGCTAAAATACGATGCATACTTGGAGAACTCGCATGGGGCATAGGAATATGGACATGGCGGAAAATCATATGCAAGCGCGAAAGAAACAAGGTATTAGCTAGGCAAAAATAAAGTTCAAATATATCCCTGGTCGAATCGTTAATGAGAGCATACGAAAAAAAAAGCGTGAAAATCTCACCAAGATCGTAAAAATTCCGAGAAGATGGATATTGGGCGAAAGACGTCATGACTTCTCCGTTTGTTTCTTTTTAAGCTCGAGAAACAGCTCTTCACAATGTTGCACGAGCTCTGCAGCTTGATCTTGACGTTCCTCCCACTCAGGAACGGGCATCGTCCCGACATATTCGTTAAACCAATAATCAACATGTGCTCCGAACTTGAGTGGCGTTGGAGCTTTTTGAGATTTAGGTTTCTCCGAACCCGGCAGGTTAGAGGAAGCGACAGTGATGAAAGGAAGAGCAACCAGCATGAGATGAACAGCTGGGATTGCAGACTTGTATGGTGTGATGACGTGTACGCGTGACCCGAGGAAATGTGCCTATGGAAAGTAGGAAAGAAAGACATAAGAGTGGAAAAGGTATAACGGTGGCCGTGAAAAGAAACGTACATACCATAAGGAAACTCAGTTGCATGAGAAAGTCGAGTACATTGCTATTAAGCGATTTGGTTGCGATATTCGTCCGCACGACGCCTGGATGGAATAAGAAATGCCGTACAGGCACTTGTGTATTTGCATTCCCATCTTTAAATCCAGCTTCTCTTTTCTTATCGGAAACAGAGAGTGCACGTTGCTGCCGTTGCTCGAACCAGCCAGCCAATAGATCTATCTGGTATTTTGATGCTTCGTAAGAACGAGCGTTGCGTACGAGTTGCCAGTCTTCTGGATCGTAGCATGCGGGATTCGCTTCAAGGGAGGACATCCAGAGAACTCGAGAGGGTGCACGAGTGAGGCCTCTATATCGGTTTAGCAAAGGCTCAAGGAGCCGGAACTACAGCAGCATAAAGCGAGTTAAATTAATAAATAAAACAGGTCAAAACGGGCGATGGAAAGAAATTGTACGCACCAGCATGTAGTGTCCAAAGACATTACACTGCCAAATCCATCCTAGCCCATCTTCACTTAATTCGCCTATCCTCTGCAGTTTGAACAATGGGCTCGTTACTGCGCCAAGGAAATCCGTGAGTAATTGTTTGCACGCAAGTGGCCAGTCATATCCAATGAACGATGCTACGCCTGCGTTGCATACCAAGTGCGATACATACGGATATCTTCAAATAAAACCCAACTATTAGAAGCTCGTTGATAGTTATAAAGACGGGGAAAGACGCACTTTGAATTTATTGCTCTTGCAAAACTGAACACACTCTCAGCTGACGCGAGGTCGATTCTTTGCACAACCAAATCCACATTATCCCTAAACGATTGTGCATGATTCGCATCCGCACCTCCTTTTGTCCGTTTAATCTTCTCGACTTCGTTATCAAGCAAAGCCACGAATTCTTTGCGAGCTTGTTCTGCCTTTGACACGCTTCGACATGCGAGAATGAGTGTTATTCCCTCGCACTCCGCAAAGTCCTCCAAATCAATTTCAGCAGCTTCGTCGATAGATATTGATCGTGCAATAGAGCGCTGAGGTAGACCATCAGATGGAAGGCGTTGTGCAAGTTGGAGAAGGAGTCGTTGACAAATAGCGTAGCCTACACCACTGTAGACACGCGACGTGACACGAAAAAGTACAAAAATTGATCCCGTGTTCATGTCAGCTCAGATCCGTTTAGCAAGGACTCGTGGACGTACGCGTTTGCACCTGTGACGATGACGATTGGGCGGGCTCGCTGTTCAGAACCCATGGCAGTCAAGAAGAGCGATTAGCGAAATTTGTTTGGCTGGTGGGCAAGTCGTATGATGTTGGCTGTCGTTCACACAGCTAAATGCGTGAATCACGACCGCAAACTCTCGGACGCAATTACCATACCAGGTTCGGGTGAAATGTCAATGGAAAATATTCCACGAGCAAGATGCACAAGCATTGTCTGTTTAAGAACACATCTTGCCTTGGTTAGACGGATTGTCAGAAATTATTCGGCCCTCTGGAGTCTGAAGTTTCATGTGGTTTTGTTCCCTCTGACTGGCTCATGCAGGATTTTACTGTAAGGTAGAATCCCATTATCATTACATCCCCTAGAAATCATTGGAGGAATATGTGATGACAGAAGAAAATGACTGCTGAAGAGATGCTTTCTGAAATTAAGGTAATAGCTTGGTACCACACAGACATCATGCTGTATTACGTAACGACAAAAGAAGACACGCTTATTGGGGAGCCTTCCAGACAGGCTGACAGGCTCTTCCACCATTTTTCAGTTGCATAGTGCCACTTACAATTGTTTATTTCGTCCACAGGCCACGTTAGGAACTCTCCCAAACTCATACACCACGGAGGCCGATTCTTGCTTCGTAAGAGCGAAATGAAGTGCGGCCTGACTCGACCATTCGGATAGAAGCGAAGGACAAAAGAAAGCCTAAAGCACACCTATGCGCCTCCGCCGCCCCGCACCACAGCCACTCGCTTGTTGCGATGTACTACCGCAGTATATATATGGATCCTCATCCATCAACTACTTGGTGTATTTTAGCGCCTGCTTTTCCCTCACTTCAACCTCAACATGTCTCTCATATCGCTCCCGGTAGAAGTACAAGTTCTCATCTTATCGCAACTTTCTTTCCGCGACATCATGCGTTGCCGATCCCTATGTCGCCATTTTTACGACCTTGTCAACACTAGTAAGGTACTCTGCTTTACCATTGAACTCGGTGCGGCTGGAATGAAAGACAACCCGAATTGCCAAGAGTTAATGTCTGGGAAAATCGAGAAGCTCTGGAAATCGAATATCGCATGGGCCAATCTCCATTGGCTATGTCGGCGCAGTATTTCACTCTCCGGAAAGACTGGGCAACTTTTCGACTTCTCTGGTGGTCTTTTCTTTTTCACAAGTCCCGAGGGCCATACTAATACTGGGAACCCAACGACTATCGAGTGGCTTACATTACCTTCACGGCGCGAGCCGGATGTTAGACACCAACCAGAAAAAGTCACGTTCGACATGCTACTCTTCGAATTTGCTGTCGACGCAACGCAAGACCTCATTATTGGTGTCGAGCTTACCAGTTTTAGGTTGGTGCCTTTTCAAATTTCGGACGAATGGGCGATATTAACTGTCTGATGCACATCAGGACAAATAAGTTCTATACGATTATGTGCAATTTACACGCAAGATCAATATCAACAAACAAGATTCATCCCTTCGTCGCCCGACATGTCCTATCCACCCGCTTTGCCTCGCCCATCACTGACTTCCAAGTAGATGCTCAAATATGTGGGAATCATGTTGGGATCCTACTATCCAGGAGATTCGGTGGCAGGATTAGGGACTCTTTTGATTTGTTCCTCCTGTTCGATTGGACTACTGGCTTTTCGAAAGCGGTAAGTTTCCATTTTTTATTTTACTTGATTGCGTAGACCGAACAAACTTTTTCATGACCCATTTTTAGAACATGGGCACGTATCATATGGAGGAGTTCTGGGAAACGTTCTGTTTTCTCACCCCTGATTCGGTGCTTATCCCCTCAGCCGTCAACAGCCTCCTCAATGTCTATTCCTTCAATAATAAGCCCGACTCTCTAAAACACGAGATATCACTGCTTCTTCCAGAGCCCCTTACCCGTCGGAGTCTCCGACATGTCTTTGTGTCTTCGCAACCGCCAACCTTATCATCATATTTTACGCATCCGACCGCCGATAATCCACCATTTATTGCAGACATGGACGAGGGAATCTTAATACTACAATTGGATTATCGGTACCATTCACACGGCATACCAGGCGGCGTGGACGATGGACTCACGTCACAGCAGATAGTCGCGATACCACGACGCGTTCTCACTCAATTCGCGAATCTCGCACGGGGGAGAACCGTATGGTTTGAGTCCATGATTGAGGATTTCCACGGACGAACCAACCGAATGGAACCTTGTCATTCAATGGATTCCCTAATACCCGTTAAGCCCGTGCCATCTCATTATTGCGATCATGAACAGTTGTATGCGAACGCGTCGGCTCATCCGCAAAATAAACGATTTCCGCACGTACATTCTGAACAATGGATTCACTATACGCGCTGGGGAATCGATTCCGTTTCACCTGATATGGGACGCTACGCCTACGGCTCACGATACCTCGGTATGAGCAGTCGAGCTTCCCTTCCCAATGCCCCAGCCTCTTCCATCGCACTATACGATTTTAACGTACGCAACGACCTACGCGGGCTGGGCCATATGCTAGAAGAAGAGAACGTCCGACCGTATCCTGCCGCAGACGAAGAGTTCAATGAAGACGAAGATTGGGACTATGATGAAGCGACGGGAGATAGGAAATGGCCTGTTTATCCATCACGGATAGTTGCTACTGCGAATGTTGTGAATATTCCGGAGGTATTTAAAGCGTCGTTCTCTACTGCGTTGCCGTATCGCGTTACGGAGACGGAGATGATGCTTCCTTGGGACGCTGCTATGATTGATGGAGAACGTATTGTAGGATTAGAGGTAAGTCGCTGCATTGAATTCGATTGGTTTTGCTGATGTCGATTGATTTCTCCTCGGAAACAGTTTGTAGAGAATACTGCTAACAGTATTGATAATTTGGATGTTATTGTAATATAGTTCTATCGTTTCCTCTTTCGTCTTCGTCCTCCGGGACTCGCCGTGACTATATGCAGTCCTGTGCTATAAACAACCACCACCAGTTCTACTTCCCTATTTGTCCTCCGTATCAAACATCATGGCAACTTCAATGTGTGCCCAGCATGGTCGTGCAGTGTACAAGCGTCCACCTTTTGCTCTTAACCCACTTGTACCTACACTCGAACCTAGAACAGTTCCCCCCGAGCATAACAAATCTTTCAGGCCTTGAAAAAACCTTGCAAATTCTCTGGCAACTTGATTTGAGCAGTATAGACAGACACTGTACAGCTTTAGAACTTTGCCTTAAAGACCATAAGAGGCCATATTCGACTCTGTAGAACCTCGCAATTTCACTGACAACTTGATTTGAACAGTTTTGCAAAGGCTGTTTACAAGTACATGTGGCAGTGTGAGGAGAGAGAGATGAGGTATAAGTGGGTAGCTATTGGACTGCGCGAAGCAGGTATAGAGTTGAAAGCCCGGGAGAGTATTGGGACTGAGAGATGGGTCAAATTCCATAATAGCGCTTGATTAATCTGTACAGAATTGTGGTATCTGATGCTTGTAGCTGTGTATAAAAGAAACGGCTTTTATCGTACTATATATTGATTGCATAGATGCTGCAAGTCTCAACTGCTGAAGGGACCTGGAATCATCGGATATACAGTTTACATACATAAGAAAAACTCGCATGATACATCTCGCCTGGGTTCTCCGTATATGACATTGAAAGATTAAATAATTAAATAACCAACACCCCCCTCCCCCTTTCACTGTTCCCCTCGGCCCTGGATCAGTGTTTTTGAGAGGCTGAACGGTCTACTCGTATACTCGCACAGCAGCGATATCCCAGAATGCGTCTGTAAAAGCCGATGGGTTGTTGTTGACGAAGTCTGTTTGGGAAGTGAGACATAGTTCTATGTATAAATTCTTGGAACAAAAATATGCACTTACCGACGCAGGTTCCGGAGCAGCCTGCACCTTGGAAAGTCGCGTCCTGTCCTGCCCAGTCACCACCTAACAGATTACAGGTTCAGTTCATCGATACATCTGTGTAAAAGGAACAATAGGCTTACAGAGAGTAAGGTTGATTATGATATTGTTCTCCCCGAAGTGGGACGCGAGGTCACAGCTGGTATTAGGGAAGAGCGCGACCGGAGTGCCCTATATAATGTAATGCGTTCATATCAGTTAATTACTCTAGTGTAGCCAGTGTTCTGCAACTTACATAGGTGTCAGTGTTGATCGAGGATGCACCACTCGATATTTCACTAGGTACAGACGAGTCTTCGCGCGACCAGAAGAACACCTGGATGAACGAGTCCGTGCGTTCCATTATATACCATCCACCTCCAGCAGTGTTGAATGCCGGTCCATAGTTGTTTGCCTTGTTGTTGTGAACACCGCACCCTTTATTTCCGTTCACAGCTGTATCACAGTTCGTAGAAACCGAGGTACTGCCGACGATAAATAAGCCATCAGTTTTGTTAAGCGACAGGTAGTAGTTATATTGGATAATCACCCCGTCATGGCACGATCATCCGGCATCGTGCAACCTGGAGAAGTATGCAACGTGCTGGCATTTGGTGACTCATCGTTTACACCTTCTAACACGTCGACTTCACCACTCGCCGGCCAGTCGGAGTCAAGTGTCTCCCAGGCTGCTGGCCAAGTTGCACATCCTTGGGGCATGTGCCTAATATCAAATCTAAGATCGCGTGATTATCAGTTTCCGCTCCAACCCACGAAGTTTAAATATAGTCAAAAAGGGTCCGCATGAAAATGATAGGGGAAGAAACAAATGACATACACCACAACGTGAGTAGTATACGTCTTGTTACTCTTGATGCGAACGCTATTGCGGCCCGGACCAGACGCTGAAAGGACAGTGGTATCATCCGTTCGCATGATGAAAGTATCACTCGACGCGAAGGTGAGATTGTCTGCGAGGGCTGTAGCCTGGTCGACATATGTTACTCGCCCATTTGTCGGATCCGCGATTGCCTGGTGAGTAAAGCCAGAGAGGAAACCTTCCCCAACGAAGTTGTCTGAGAGGGTATACGAGGCCGAGGATACCAGAGAAGGGAACGCCGACAAAAGAGTCGCGGAGAGAAGTATGAATGTGTTTCTAGGCATGTCGGTGATCCACAGACAGTAGGGAAAGCTAGCACAAGGAAAGGAGACTCGTTGCTGTGTCATTCAAGGTTCTTCATGTCGTAGCTTTATAGCCAGCGTGCGCAGCGAAAACCAATGCTGTAAGAAGGTGGTATATTTGTGGTATGTTGCAAAGGCCTAACCGGTCGCAATAGCACCAGGTACGCACATGCTCTTGCTTGTGCCAGTTGCGACCACATCCCACACACCGCATGGCCCAGAGCACCGGAGAATGCATCATCTGCGCTGAACATAGCCAGAACAGGCATCCTTAGAACCAGTCGGACTTTTCTTGTGGAACCACGGAGCAAGAAGTGAACGGAAAGAAGGCGCTTTTGCGTTGTTTTCGGTAGCTATAATTTTGTGCATACGTACCAGAAAGACATTTAGCAGAGAAAATCGCGGACGGTAGCCTCAGGAACTGCGGTCGTCCAGAAATACATGTGACTTCTTTCCCGAAGAGAGTGGTGAACGATGGAGAACTATATTAGGGTTGTGAGCTGGCACGCGGTTTCGTTGCTAACCACGGTTCGTTGCGGTCAATTATGTTTGGTATCATCATGCGCTCCACCGTCAATCTTGCAGCCAGACAACATTCGTTAAGATGTGATTCGACGTGGCATAAGATCATGCGATCAAACCTGGCAGAGTTGTGTGAATAAAGTCTTTTCCCGTTTGATTAGGGGTTTGAATCGAGATCCAGCCGGCGCAGTTTAACTTACAACGGATATTCCTTGCAAACGAGATCTTCGGAGACTATGAAGAGCACGAAAACTACGGCTCCGGGTTCATGGATACCATCCGCAGCTCGAGTTACAACAGCAGAAAATGTGCTTGTTGTAAATATTTGAAACGTTTAGAGTTGTCGTTATATCACGTGAAAAAATACGAACGAAACCAGCGCACACGTTGTAGAGTGTCAGGTTCACATGATGGTCCAAGAATCTCAGCAATGGCCAAGAAGACATGCTAAGAACCCCTCCACTCGGAGTTCAGCGTTTTTGTCCGTGGAGCAATACCGACAAATACCGAGTCTAGAGACAGAGAACAGATTAGGATAGGAGACGCAGAGCGGAGAACTTCGTTGCATTTTAGGCTATGGCTCTCGTATTGCCAGCGTTTGGTGGGAGAGACTGTGGAGCAACGAGTACTGCAATGATTTCGAAGGAGAGTCAGTGAGCAAGTAGTCACAATAGAGGTGGGTTCTTGAGCAGGATCATCACTTGTCCGTTTTAGTCTATGACGATCCATGGCGATCTGGTAACCCTGTAATAAATCCAGCTCGTATGTGATATTATTATCATTATAATGACTATGCTGACTATCTCGTTAAAGTGTACGTTACTCATATATCCGTACGGCGGCAAAATCCCAGTACGCATCTGTAAACGCTGAAGGGTTGTTGTTGACGAAGTCTGCACGAACCACCTCGTTAGTATTGTGATTTGTAGTTGTATACATAAAAGTTTGTTCACCAACGCAAGTACCAGGACAGCCGGCGCCTTGGAAGATCACATCTTGACCAGCCCAGTCGCCACCTGATGCATCATGAGTTTTAGTCCCAAACTTTTCGAAACCAGGATAAAAAAAGAAAACTTTACACAATGTGAGGTTGATAATGATATTGTTCGGTCCAAAGTGACTTGGGATGTAACACTCCGTGTCCGGGAACAATGCGACAGGTGTCCCCTATATATCAGTGTCAATTCCGGGGAAGCAAGTCGACGCAGAACAATATCCGTAAGCTCACATAATTATCGGTGTCAATGAAAGGAGCACCCCAGGCTATCTCCCATGGCACGGACGGGTCCTCACGAGACCAGAAGAACACCCTGATGAATGAGTCTGTGCGTTCCATGACATACCATCCACCTCCTGCAGCATTGAATTCAGGCCCGTAGCTATTTGGTTTATCGTTCTCGACAACACATCCCTGATTGAAGTTTACAGCAACATCGCAGTTATTCGACACTGGGATACTGTATCCAAGAATAACGAGATATCTGTGATGTTAATTGCATGCACTGGTTAAGGCGGTTACTTACCCGGTCATAGTGCGATTTTCCGGCATCGTACAATTGGGGCCGGTGTGCAGCGTACTGTCATTCGGTGACTCGTCATTTACGCCTTCTACGACGTCGACTTCACCGCTATCTGGCCAGTCGGCCTCCAGGGTCTCCCAAGCTGCCGGCCATGTCCCGCATCCTTCAGGCATGTGTCTTATATCAAATCTAGAAATGCATAGTCGCCACAATCAGCGCCAATCCATGAAGGTTACGTATAATCAAAAGGATAAGCAAAAAAGACAGACGAAACGGGAAATGGCTTACACAACGACATGAGTGGTAAACGTTTTTCTACTCCTGATACGAACGCTTTTGCGCCCCGGTCCAGTTGGAGATAACACTTCCTTGTCATCCGCTCGCATGATGAACGTATCTCCCCGTGCAAACGTCAAGTTCTCGGCGAGTGCGGTATGGCGATCGACGTACGTTACTCGTCCATGCGTTGGATCCTCTATAGCCTCAAATTCGAAACCAAAGAGAAAACCCTTGCCAACGAAATAATCCGAAATACTATAGAAGGCTCCAGATACCAGGCAAGGTGTCAATGAGAGTAGCGATACAGCCAGGAGTGGAAAAAGCATTTGAGACAAGTTGCTAAACCGCAGACCCAAGGCCTGGCAGCGGGGAGCGCAGGACGACACACTCGTACCCAATCATACATGTAGTCTCTATATATGTCTGGCACGATAGAATAGGCGCGAAAATCGCGCCTCGCAAGATCGCGCGTGCACCTGAGCTTTGCGGAAAGCGGAGGTTATGTAGATCCTTTTGTATTGTATTCGGCTACAAGGTGGACGCGAAACGCGCCAAGTAAGCTGCCATGCATGACAGAAAATCTCGATTGGACAGTCTTGAATTGCAAAGGTTCTGATATGGATTCTGCTTTCTGCTAGAGTCAGAGAAGGTCGATAAAAACGAGCGCGCAGTCCGAAGCGAAGACGGTATTCTCCAGCCGATCAGCGCACTGGATCACCTGATCTTGTGGTTGTGAAGAATCTCAAGCAATTTGCCTTCAAAGTAACTTCGTGAATTGACAGTTATACGGGAACAAAACTTAATGAAATTCATGCTTCATGATATGATGTTACAAGTTGATTTTGTGATAATGTGGTGAGAAAAATACACGGTAGACAGCTATCGCGGTTGGGTATTCAGAGCTAGGATAAAGTTTGAGTGTTTCGGCGAAGAGCGCACGATGGCTCTGCGGAAATAAGATGAAAATTTGAGAAAGCGGGTTGGTTTTTTCAAGAAAAATAATCGTGTTCAACAGCGGCATGCAACAACCAACTCCTGGTCAGTTATCATGCAGATGAAGATCCGGTGACCCGAAGGTGTAACCACTAAATGCGGTTAACAAAACAAATATTTTACAAAAATCGAAAGAAACGATGTTGAAAGAGGACTAATAATGGAAAACAAAAGGATCATACTCAAGGAGAGCCATCACCAGCATCTTCCTCAACGTCTTCGTCGCCGGGATCCATCCATGACTCCTCCACGGTCGCCTTCACACGTCTCACGTATTCCTTGAGATTTTCACGGTATAATTGTGCAGCCTCGGCATTTGCAGGACTGTAATGTGAATATGGCGAGTCAATATCAACACACAGTAGGGTGACAAATCGTAGTTTACCGACCTATTCGGATTCGGATCATGGAGAAGGCTCTGAATACTGGTAAGAATTGCAGCCACGTCATACGTCGGGCTCCAACGATTTTGAAGAATGTCCAGACACAGCTCGCCATTGGCGTATACGTTAGGATGGAACATGCGCGAGAGGAACTTCACGGTCGGTGGTTTGTTCGGGTAACTCTCATCAAACGTCAATAACAGCTTGAACGTTCCGTCCTCAAATGGCGTATCAGCTAGTTGCCAAGATGCGTCATGATACAAAAGCGACGATTCGATGGCATCGACAAAGTGGTGAGTACGAAGCACAAGGACACGCAATCAGCATAAGGGTTATGGGTTACAGAGCTGGTTAACGCACCAGGTCCGAAAATAACGGCATTCCAAAGCATAATATTGTCCGGGCAAGGGCTCCCAGAGATACCGCCAGGAGGGTCGGTCGACAAACGTTTGAAATCACGAATGAGGCGGCGACGGGCGGTGGTAGACTACAGAAGGCGCTCGTGTCGGCCGACATTATTGCAATGATAGCACTAAAGTTTGACGTACCATGACTAGCACTGGCTGTATGAGATTGATGGAGACGAGCTTTCGTGTAAGAAGAACAGCAACCGGGTAGAGGGAAGAAGGAAGAAAGAGGACAAGGCAGAGGAGAGGAGGATGTGGCTTGGTGTGAAGGAGACTGATTAGGACAACGCCGCCACCCACTGCTGACTAATCCGAAGTACTCGGACCTACAATTCCGAAAAAGGAGCTGGACCTCAGACATGTTTTATCCATCCATATTAGTACTGACAAAGACACTATCCATCAGACTAACTTATTGTTAATACAACATAGCTGAGTACTTAATGATAAGTATTGGATGAAAGTCTATTGAAAATCGCTTTTGTCCGGCCACTGATCTTGCTATCCTAGCCATCTCTTATACAACAGACTTGTACTCCTTCAGCTTCACAACCCTTGTGTGTTTGACCTCTTCGTGTTCCGGGCCGAAATACCCCTGCATATTGAAGCTCCAGACCAAATTTCTGTAGTCCCATTGTTCCATCGCATATATGTACACCCGGATATCCTCATTCTCTCTTGTCCTGAAGGATTTAATCTTGCCTTTGCATTCCAATATGGTGTCGGAAAATCCTTCATATAACTTGGAGATATAGTCTACAGTATCAGTTAAAGAGAGATTTTCGGCCTTCATCACAACAGTAACACTGTTGCTTCCTTCAATGCTACAAGTATACTTGATAAGCTACAAATAGATGTCTTGTAAAAAGTAAAGTCAGTTGTCAGTCAAAGATAAATAGTAATTAGTGCAAATATGTTCACACATTTGACCAACAAATTATATCAACAGTTGCAAAGCAGACTTGTATAAAGTTAGGGTCCTTAAATACACTTGCTAGTACTTTGATTCTAAGAATAGCTTTACTAAGATTAAAGCAGGCTTGAATGCTACTATTCTTGTAATAATAGTAAATATCCTCCTTAACAGAAAGTACCTCATTCTTCTCCTCAAAGACAGGCTTCATTTGTTGTTACATTAATATAACTAATAAAATGTTGTATAAATTGCTTGTAAATAGTTACAGGTATGTATAAGATAGTCTTTAAATAATTAAGAACAGAATAATAAGTATTAATAAAAATTGTTCTATACACACTTTATACTTACTCTTGTGTAATCTAGTTGTAGCTAGGGAGTTAGAATCTCTAGTTTTACTAGTTAAAGCCTTGACAAAGGTTTCTCAAATAGTACAAGTATCTTTTGTATCTTAGTTATTAGTAATCTTGTTTATAATAAAGAGAATCATGAAAAAGTTGTTAACAATGTAGAGTCCTTTTGTGTCAGTATAAGGGTACACATATGTGCCTAGCAGCTCTGTGTTGGACACATGAACTTGTGCCTTGTTATGGTTCACAAAAGTACAATAGCTAAGTATCTATTTAGTAGACTTACAATTCTTAGAAGTAAAGTTTAGATTGACAGAGCTTTAAGAGAAAGTGTTAGGGAAAAGAAGTCTGGGACAACAAGTTCTGATAAAGACTTGATAGTTGGTTGATGCTCCTTGGTAGACTATCTTGTTGAACTTGTTATACTATGTAGAGGGAATCCAAACATTTAAGTAGTAATAAATGTGTATAAAAGTAACAGGACACAGTTCTAGAGTAAGAAGTAAACATTTGATCCATCTTGTTCGAATCTCGAGTATCCGACTTTCCGATTTCTACAAATTCAATGGTGCAAATGCCCTGGTGAAAAGTATTCAAGTCAATGTCAATATAGAGACAAGATGCTCCTCTGTCACTGTAAAACACAGACATAGTGTATTCACATTGCAGGACGTTTCATTAGATATGCAGGTACATGGCGCTTCATAATTGCTGTAAAAATTATGAATACGAGGATAGATTCGAAGGCATGCGGTGGCGAATGTCGTGGTCTAGACTAGGAACTTCATATACTAATTCAAAAAGCTATGCATCTAAATATAAACCAGGTCATGTGACTTAATAGTCACGTTCCGGCCACAACGCTCAGCGGCCCTTCATACCGGACGGACAATTGCTACCAACGCTCTTCAACCTACTACCACCTGCACGTCGTTATCCTGCTTCCTCGCAGACAAACACTTATTCCTACGTCACTTTGATACACGTTCTTTGGAGCACTCGATATACTGAGCCTCGTCATGTCTGCGGACACAGCGCGTCAACATTGGACACCCCCGCCTGGCCGACATCAAGTCAGCATGGGTGGGTCCATGACTCGCTTCCTGAAGCAACGAAAGGGGATCCAACAAACGAAGCAGAATAAGGCAATGCCGACGTCAAATTACTATCATTTCAAATGTTGTGTCTAGCTTCTAGTGGCCCTTAGTTTCCTATGTTGACACCCCGTTTCAAACCAATTCAGATAATTTCATGCCTGAATCTGTCGATGTGGGCAAGCCGGGAGTAGTAGAACTCACAAGGAAGGACTTCACGGCAGTACGCATGGAGCGTGCAAGCCAGCAGGCACGTACATTCCTATTACCTATTAACTTTATGTGATAGTACATTCTCATTCTTTCCCAGTCTGATGAGGTACACGTCTTCCGGGGCAAAGAGGAACCCGCAAAAGAAGTCGAGTGTGTTCTAGTTTTTGATCCTGAGAGTGGAGTATGTCCCAATCCATGTCTTTTTGATCTGTTGACATTCCAATTCCGGATCACCAACAGATGTATACACTGGAAAAGCTGGACTCTTCCTTGATCTTGAGTCACGAAGGGCGTGGACCGCCGAAAGTGCGCCAACCTTCCGCGTCGCGTATGATTTCCCCCTCTCTTTAAATGCATACTCTGATTTCTTGCTTAGCACTACCAAATACACCTTCACCCGCTGCTTCAACGATGAAAGTAGATGAAGACGAACTGTTCCGGGAGCTCGAGAGTACGCTTGCGGGAGGCAATGTAGATGACGATGATATTGAAGATATGCCTTTGAGTGTGGTTTCAAAGGCTCGTAAAGAGGAGCCATCTAAGCCGGTGGCTTCCAGCATTTCTAATGGAAAGCCGAAGCCAATTTTGCAGGGCTCGGGGAAGACATTAACAGGTTCTACTAGTAAACCCAAGCTCACCAAGCCTTCACCGCTTGCGTCATCATTGGCCCAACCTCCGAGTGGCGCGACTTATAGTACATCAAGCCCCGACAAAGGCAAGACGCTACATACTCAAGCACACACAATCGACGTTGAGGAAGAAGTGCTTGAGTTTGGCAAACCCACGCTTCGAACGGAGCGTCCCCGCATATCGCCACAACCCGGCCCATCGCCAATATCACTTCCAGGACGTTCTTCATCCAATGGTCTGGCGCTACCATCAACGAGCGGTGCTGTCTCGCTACCTGGTCCGGTTTCCGGGCAGGATGACGAAGATGACGGAGAAGGCTGGGATGTAGTTGCAAGTATTGGTGATGGTGCTAATGCGAGTAACAACGGTGATGATGGCTCCATCTTTGGCGATAATTTCGCAGATGCAGACGAAGGCGAGGAAATCAATGTCGATCAGTTCGCTGCAGAAATGGACCAAGAATTGCTTGAGGGCCTCGAAGAAGAGGACGCAGATGGGGAGATGGAGGAGTTCGGAGTCGCAGAAGAACCGGCGCGCGAGTTGAAGCCGATGTCGCTCAACCAATTCGCAGGTGGTGTAGATGTGAATGTTGACGATGGGGACGATGACTACTCGTCGAGTAGTGACGAGAGCGACGACGACTGATCTCTGATACGCCTGCCATATCTGCTCCATGCCGTATGTGTTTCACCGGCGTAGCAGCGGAATGTGTGGCTCCTCTCCGTTACGACATGTTACATTATTTCTGTCAATGTTCTGCTGTTGTGTGCGCCCCGACCGGCTTTTGCGGGCCTTACTCTTCTAGTCGTACCGTGTTCTGCTCGAACTAGCTTACAATTTCTGTTCCCTTGCCCTTCGACCGTGCCCCTGAGATGTAGAATTTAACCGATAGAATGTCGCATTTTCAACTGCCTTTCTCTTCCACCGTGAAAGACTGACAAGATGTTGCTTAACCATCGAAAGAATGTCGTGAAATCAGTCTTCTCTGTTCCTTTCCGCATAACACCTCGTTCTCAAAAGACATTATGGCGGACACCGGCGGCTCTATCTACTACCTGCACCAACTTCATGGGGTGAACAAAACGTGCATTGCACGCCAGGCAATGGCTGTCTATGTAGCATCAGTAAAATTCAGCAGGAAAACCACGGGTTATGTTTCCGTTGAGCCATTAGCAGCTCATTTGTAAGTAGGCCTTGGAAGCGTATAATATTCTCGCAGCAAAGTCTCACAGACATTATTGATGTCATTACGACTCGGAATGTATGATATATCTCTTATGAACACACTCAAATGGCCTTGTGAACTTTGATTTTGCTTCCCCTAACATAAGAGTGGAGAAAAGCAGCCTGCGTGTTGGCGGGAAGGTGGGCAGAAGTATACAGATGCTTTTTCTCTGCTTTTGCCACGTCTCCTAACTGAAGTATTCGAGTTTATTGTTACTTCGAGACATGAAAAGCGCGCGGAGTTTGATTTGAGCTGGGAATTTTAATCATTAAAATAAGACATCAATCAATCTTGCACAAACACGATCTCATCACGCCACATAAACATAACAGTATTAACACCACAGAATCACTCAAATAGATCGAAATAGACCAAAGATACTATATGTTGTCGATTGTGGTCGTATGTCTCCAATCTTCCAATACGAACCACTTCCGCATAGTAACGTAGCAAAGCACAACAATTGAACAAATCACACCGGCGAACAAGAATATGATCGTGCACTTATCAACCAATGGCAGGATACCCGAGACAGCTTCCGACATCGCGTTATTTCAGGTACGAAGACTACAAGAGCAGGAATATACAGATTCGTAAAGCCCGCTGCTTAGAGACACTTACGCAACCGCGATCACCGAGATGCCCGTGCGGAATTCACTCTTTTTTCTCACTAATCCAAAAATCCTAAGTAACCTATACACAGAAAGCCGAATGCGGATTGCATAGTGTTTTCCATATGAACAAAGAAAGACACAAAGCAGATAAGACGAAGGCAAAAGGCAAAGGGTAAAGGGGCAAAGAAGGTAAAATCGGAATAAGGATCAGGCAAGTATCAAAAAAGGGTAACGACCGCGCACCAGGCAAGGTAGGCCAGAGAATGCTGGTACTGAAAACGTAACCAGTTCACAACCGGGTTTAACTAACTACTATGTATGTCGACCAAGATATCCGGGAAGAAGGGAAAGTTGCATCTACTTAGGGGTAACCACCGTATCGTAGCAAGAAAAATGTCCGAAAAGAAAAACACACAGAAGAACAAAGTCCGAGTCCGTATACAGACACATACAAATCATATGTACAAGCCCACGAACATTAGGTCTGCTCATGCGGACGAGGGAGATGACGGGGGGACAAGCGTCCAGCCGTTCACGCTAATTGCACCGTCGGGAGAGTTCCCAGTCGTGGTGTTTGCAGTCGGTGGGATCGAGTTATCAGAGGCTGCAGTAGCGCTTGCGTCAGCGCCAGTCGCGGTTGCGCTAGCGCTAGCAACGATGCTGCTCGCTTCCTCGGGCGAGATAGTAGCAGTGCTAATCGACGTCGATGCAGTGTCAGTGGAACCCGAGTTGGATACGGAACCGCTCTTTGCGAGGCTGCTGAGACTCTCGGTAGAGTTGTCGAGGAATGCCATGGTCGGGCCGGCGACGATGTTACCAGTGAACCTATCGCGTGCGTTGTTTGCGAGCGGTTGAGTGTCGTTGGTGACGTAGATCGCAACGGGGCCGACAAGACCTTCGGGTACCACACAGTTATCGAAGGGTAAGGACAGAGAGAATGGCATGCCTCCTGCGAGCATCTGGCACGAAAGTGTCGAAGTATCTGAGATACTGCTCTGCGCGTCGAAGCTGAATTGCAAGCACGTTCCAGCATTAATAGACCCAGTGTTTGTAACCTTGAGAGAGGGAAGTGCATCAATGCCGACACTGCATCCAGAGATGAAGGAGCCCGCTATTGCGAGAACTTCCTGGGGGAGGAGAGGAAGGTCAAAGGCAGCCGGGATTGCGGTACCGCCGTTGAGGACGTTAAGGATGGTCTGGTGGCGTGCCTCGACAGTGACAATACTCGCCGCATCAGTGAGGATGACAGGGTCCGTGATAAGATGTGCGGCCCCGAGGTAAGCGCCAACACCGACGTTTTCTACAAGTCGTGCGACTGGAGCCATAGTCGCTACATCAGTGAGCACAGACGAGAAGTCGAATGAGCAACCTGAGACAGCTGAGTCACCAAGAGACTGGATAGCCGCCTCGAGGACTGTCGTGTGTGTGGATTCATCGGACATGATGTTCGTAAATTGCTGAATAGGCACGGAGGCATCCGAAAACCCGGCAGTTGTGAAGTCGCTTGTTTGGAACTTCTGAAGCGCTTGAGTGTAAAACTCTGTCTCGAGCTGCTCCAAGACGTTGGCAAATTCTGAAGGCACATCAACACCGAGTGCATTACGGATACGAGCTGAATATGCTTACTGAGGACCAACAAGTTTGCAGCATTGGCAACCGTGGCATTAGAGTCTGTTCGCCGTACGGGCAAACCTGCCACGGACGAGGCAAGAAGGGACAAAGCCGTGAAAAAGGCGGAGTAGTGCATTTTGAAAGATTCGACCCGGAATATTACACAGTAACAGAAACCTGCTGTCTGGCTGGCCAAGTGAGCGACAGTAAAAACAAGAAAACCAGGGGCGCAGCCCAACGAATGCTGAAAGTGAAAGAGCTGTAAATAAGAGAAAAGATAAGCTTTGTGGAGGACGGCAAGAAAGAAAAGGCACTTACAGGGAAAAGAGCGAAGACGAAGGGCAGGTGATGGCACCTGGCGACAAGAGCATCAAGTTTATAGGTGGTCCGCCATCATGCGTACCTCTGGTGTGGGTCGTTGTTATGGTTATCCGACGAGCCCAATATGGCAACTCGCATGAAGAGCTGCCGTCTCCCCGCGCTGCCCGGGTTCTCCTGCAGGTCCTCGTCCCGCTTTCAACCAGTCTGACCGCGCCTAGAAATCCTCGCCCGTTGTCCGTGTATACCTTTTGTCGACGGTTTCTGTGCTATTTTCTGTCCGGCGCAATTTGGCGATTTTTTTGCCAGGCAACAAGCGCTATCGCATGTTTTCCCACCAAACTAGTCGTCGGCATTCCCGAGGCATACAGCCACCGATTGGCCGATCCGCCTGCCTGGAAAGTCCATTGGTCACACAATAGCGCACCCGAAAAGGCCTTCTCATCTCACAAAGAGCCGCGTTTCCTAGCACATCATCCTGATCCTTCGGCGTGATATATGACAACAGCGACGGCGTCAATGAGTGGTGGCGTTGCCGCACTCGATGGGAATGTTGTCCTGCCAGAAATTGTCCTTTTGCTGATGTTAGACTGCTCGGTAATTGGGCCTGATCAGAATGAATTGCGACATGCATATGAGTTCCGTGTTCGCTTTGCGTCGTGATCATCTTGAGTAAAATGATGCAGTTTTTTTGACAACTGTTTGTCGCAGTCGACGGTGATTGGGGCGCATGAGTATCAGATATGTGTACAGGTCTAACGGAGCCGGTTGTCAACCTTTGAAATTGACAATATGAGCTGAGAATCAGATGGCGTTTATGTGATCGTTCTGAAATTGATGATTGAATATTATTATTCTATGACATCTATGTTTACTTTACAGAAGACTTGTGGCTCACGTGAATTGATGACATACGCACGTCTCGTGACCTTGGATTCATTTTGGCAAGGGCGCAGCGAACCTTTGATTTTCCGCATCCAGACCCTGAGTCTCACGACCCAATTTGGGATGACCCTGAATGGCCACTTACATAATACTAGTGCGGCAACTCTTGGACTAAGAAGTTAGGAGGGGGGTTTGGGGGGCAAAGCCCCCCAATTAGGTTTGGGATAAGTTGGGTTGTTAGGTTTGGGTGTTAGGATGGGTTTTGGCTAGGATTAGGGAGGGGAACATGTATTTTATTAGAAAAGGACTTTATTTTGACTTAGTGAAATTCAAGTTGAACTGTGGGTGGCCAATTCAAGCTAACCAAAAAAGAGCCGTGGGACTCAGGGTCTGGATGCGGAATTGACGCGACTGGCGCAGCGTCCACGTCGTCACCGACATCGAGAGCATCGTTCTCCACGGTGTCGAGGAGCACAGCGTACGCAAGCTGCTCACCGAGAGGTCTGTGCTTCATCATGCTCGCTTCTGGCTATGTCGCATCCTCTGATTCACTCTCGTCTATAATCTCTTTCTTCGTTGTTATATTCAGCTAAACCTCTCCACCTGCACTCTTGCGCTCTTTGCGTCCTCACCGCTGACCTTCTTTCCTCATGTCCTCCTGGTCTGCCTCGCACGCGCCTTCGCACAGGAGTGACCGCTCCCGATCACCATCCCGCAGTGCGTATGGACGTACGGCGTACCCTGATCCCTCTTATCCTCCCGATACATATCACCGGGATTGGGACGCCTACAGTAGAGAACGCGCCTGGGCCGATTA